GGGCGGGTTTTTCGGGACACCGGGGCAGCCGCAGGGAAGAGCGCGGCGTGGCCGGCAGCCCTTGTCCGAGCAGCGGCTTTGTGGCCGCATCAGCGCCCGCGCCTCGGGTTGGTCCCTGAGGAAAACGCGCCCAGGGCTTGTGTCCGCCGGCTTCGCAGCACCCTCTCAACAGTGATCAGAGAGACATAAGAGGGGTGTTGGAGGCCTCCTGGGTCACTGCCTTTCAGATCCTTCCTCCATTTCAGACCTCATGGTCTAGACCTTGGCAACTGCACTAATGACACAATGAGCTTGGGCTGGTAGCGTCTCTTTGCCATTAGCATCCCCAAACACATCTCTCAGACCACCTGACAAATGCTGCACCTTCCCCCGTGTCCCTCAGGAGAGTCTGGTATGAGGTAGTAGCTGGCTGCTTCCTTGACCTTCGGTCTCGTGGACACGTAGGGACTTTGTACTTTGGGTTGAGTGGCAGCTCACAGGCACCTTCGAGCGCTGTAGACTTGGGGAAACCAAGGCACCAAGGAAGCATTTACAAGCTTTCAAGGGTAAGAGCAGCCTCTGCCTAAATAGGGGTTGTTAGCACAACAACCTTTCGATGAAGTGCTTGCCATGCCATCTAATGGGGAGGGAAGCACTGCCTCGCTGAGCTGCTAAAATCACCCAAAGCACCGTAATAAAAGTCAATAGTTAAGTTTCCAGGAAGGACAGCAAAAGAAAAATCTGGAGTTTCATATTCTTGCCCTAGCAAGGATTCATTTAAACAACTCCGACTTTAACCACCTCAAACTCCAGGGTTCTTTCTGTGAACATCCAGAACTTCCCTTGGATTAATACTGAATAATGTCTGAGTAAAAAAAAAGTGGGTGACAGAAAGCAAACAAGAGAGAACTAGTTTAATATGTCCTGACCATAAGGTAGCAATAAAATAATAGCTAAATAATAGCTTTCTATCTTCACAGCATTTTCAGCTGGAGATCCCAAGCAGATAACATTTTTTTTGGTAAAATATAAGCTTGAAAATCTCAGTGCACTTTCAGTGCTTGAGGGAAGAAAAAGTGTTTTCTTCTCCATAGTGTATTGCCATACTCTGGCAAAAAGAATATTAGCAAGATGATGTCTAATGAATAAAAAATGTGAGGCGTATAATTGCCTTAAAAATACTGCTTTCATTCCTACTTTACACACTTGAGCTGTCTAGAGCATTAGAGATGTTTTCTATGGACAAAATCTGAAAAGAAATTGAGTAATGCATTTTGGCCCACCACAGACAAAAAGTATATTTTGAGCAGAATAAATATTTTCAATCATCTCCCCTAGCAAACCTGTACTTTTGGTGAAAATGCTATCTACCAACAGTAAAATAAAACAGAACTTATTCAGTCGCCTGTAATAAAAACAAACTGAAACTATTCAATCTCTAGAGTAATTCAAAATGCAGCTAGCTGGGACTAGCTAGAACTCAAAAAAGTACAAATTATTAAAATGCACAAAACTGTATCTCAGATTAAATTCTGCCCCCCTGCTCACCTCTAGCTGAGAAGAGAGATGAATTGGAGTCCCAGTGTTGCTTGGGAAAAAGAGCAAAGGAAATGACTGTTACTGTTTGTCCAGAATAATCGAGATGAAGGAAGTAGAAATGGAAATGATAAAAATCTTATTTTTTTCATTTAAATATTTTATATATATATAGAGCGAGATATATATAAAAACATATATTTTTATCCCTTCCTTAATAACATAGGGAGGGAATATTTGTTTAATGCAGGTTTTTTGGTCTTGTGCACTGAGACACGATGTTGGAGGATTTTTAATTTTTAAATCACTTATACATTCCTTAGCTTTTCCTCCCAATTTTCTGAATCTAGTTCAGCATCAAGCCCCCAGGCAGTTCACTGAATTTATATCAATCCTGTCCTGGCTAGTGCGGTGGC